TGTTTTGGCCTTTATTTCAGCTGGAGCAGACTTGGCTCATTAGATGCTTAGCTTGATGAAAGCTGCTAATATGGAAAACATTGAATTGTCTCTGGGTTTTTTTTTTTCATACAAAATGCTCAGAGAGAGGACTGCTACCCTTTTTCATAGTTCACTAAATATATAGCAGCTGGTTAGCTTAGCTAAGCATGAAGATCAGCAGCTCGCCACGCTCCGTTCAGGTATGGAGTAATTCGGTGCTCGTGTTACTCTCAGCGTTTAACAAGTTTGTTTAGGTGTAAAACAGCAAGACCTCCAAGTATCACATTAGACAAACAGTTCAATGCTCTGCAAAAGTAAGCACACCCATTCACATTTTCCACATTTTACTTCTGGTGGAGCAACACAAAGTAGTGCATGATTTTAATTGAAGGGGGAAAACAATGCCCGATTGTGTGTGCGTGTGTTTTTTTTTCTGTTTGTTTTTTTTTTTTTTTTTTCAATTAAAAGCCTAAAAAATATGTTGTGGATCTGTATGAAGCTGCCCATGTGGCAAACCACACGAGCCAGAAAATGTCATTTTGCTCTTGTTTGACCAGCACACTTGAGGAAAGTTTGAGGAAAGTGTTTGGAGTTGTGAAAAACTCCAAACAATAGCTATGTTTATGCCCAATTGTCATGTAAATTTTAAGCAAATCTTAAAAATTTTTCTTAAAATTTTTCTCCCGCTCAAAAAGGAGAGAGAAAATTCAAACTATGTTCAATATAACATTCATTTCTTTACATGTAGGTGTAAAGAAATTACACCGACATTTCTTTCTGTAGGTGTAATTTGTCAACCTGGTCCTTTAACCCAGAATAATTCTAATTGGGTACAGATGACAAAACGACGAGCTAATCTGAGCAGTCTTAGCTGTGGTGAGAGATTGCGACAGGTAAATGTTCATGCGACAGGATAATCATGCATTCAGGAATGCAGTAGCAGGGCTGTGTGGTTGCTACCAGCAGGGTCAGTGGCAGCAGGACTTTTTAATATCTCCCATTTCCATGGAAGACCAGCCCCCACAGCTTATATAACACAGGAAACAGATGTTAGCAACTCACAATCATCCCTCTATCTGACTTTTTCCTCTGCCCCCACACCCCCCGCCTCTCTCCTTTCTCCCCCCTGCCGTCTAAATCCTATCATAATGTGTCCCAGACATGCCTGTTTTCTTCATCACCTGTATGTTCCAGGACATAAAAGGACTGCTGCTCTCTAAATGAATTCTCAGTCCGTTCTTCTTTCCTTTTTTAAAGTTGTCTATAAAGTCTGCTACGCTGCCTTGTCAGATTCAGTTTTATACTTTATCGGGCACGTCTCAAAAGTAAGGGGCGAACCTTTCAAAGTGAGGGGATTATTTGTTGTGTAATCCTGCTCGTTCGCTGCGTGGCGCTGCGGTTATGTGACTATTTTCAGGAACACGTTGGATGTGGAACACAAATGAGGACAAAAAGAATTTGCTCATCCCGACAGAGGACGGAAGAGAGGAGATGGACAGGTGTTCTTATTAAGCCCGAAGTCCTCAGAAACCAATTGCTGACATCACACGGTCCGCCCGTATCCCAACTTTATGACATTGTTTGAAAATGCAAACTCCATTTTACCTTTGCTTGCTTCCATAATGATGCCTGTTGCCAAGGCGACTGCTATAACCCAGGTTACGGACCCTTCCTGTGAGATGCACCGTGTGATTGGCCTGACGGCCGAGAGGGAGGGGGGTCCGCGCTTGGAGGAGCGGGATTGGCTGGCTGGTTGGCAGAGGCGAGGGCCCCCCAGCAGACAGACATTCAGGAGAGAGCATTGATTTAATCGGTCGGCAGCCCAGGCTGACACCACTCACACATATAGATACATCTACACAAACACTGGCAGCGTTGCGGGTTGGGGGGGGGGTTTGGTAGATTTTGGCCCAGTGGGAGTCACCTCTGTGGGAGTTTGTGTATGTGTGTGCAATATCATGCTCTCCAGGAGAAGGCGTCGCTGGCAGTCATAGAAGCAGACCATGCTGGGTAATGTCGCACTCCTCAGGGAACTCACAATGCACGCGCGCGCACACACTCGTTAACCCACACACACGCTTGACACATATGGACTGCATTCAACACAGCTGACATAACAATGCTAAAACCCAGACAGGGCGGCTGCAGACACAAATCAGCATATGCTCTATTGGCTTCTTAAATTTTCTCAACGTTGCAGGAGTGAAGTTGGCCAGATCATGGGTTTTTGATTCTGCTACACAGGGGGGAACCAAGGAAGTGGGTAGAGGCTTTGCCTGGTCTTCACTCAGTAGAAACTACCCATTGAGAATTTAAAAACACATGTCATCAAAGTAACTCAACCCAGTGGAGAAAAATGAATACACTGCATGACAAACGTCCTTCTTAGCCACTGGCCACTCGACAAGGAGTCATCTTAGTTGCGCCACAATATAAAGTAAGCAGGATAGTGAAAGATGGTAAAATAGTAAATGATGTGTACTTGTATAGCCCACAATCAAGTCCAGAGCACAGCACTTCACACTATGTTCAGTTATTCACACATTCACAAGCGGTTATTGACAAACTACTAGATAGTAGCCACAGCGGTCCTGGTAGAGGCAAGACTGCCATCCACCAGCACCACCAGGCCCTCTGACCAACACCAGTGGGCAAGCCGGGTGAAGTGTGTTGCCCAAGGACACGACAACAGAGATGGAAGGACTGGGGATCGAATGGGCAACCCACTGATTGTATCGGTAGTACAGTCAACTGTACAACAGCGCCATGTGAAGTTTGCTAATCCTTGCTGGAATTTTAACTCAATGGTCAGATGAAGCTAAGTTCAGGTTTGGTCTCCAATGATGTATGAATATGCGGGAAAGCACCTCCCACATATTCATACATGCAGGATGTATGAATATGCATCCCACAGATCCACCACCATATTCACCACTGTTGAATATTGTGGAGAATTTTTGATGTTTTAGGTCTTTTTCCCTTTTAAAGAGACTGGGAACCTTGCAATGTTCTTGTCCTGTTTTGTGAAACAGGACAGTTTAAAAAAAAAAAAAAAAAAGAAACATGGTGTTTGACAGTAGACTGAAAAGTAAACCGAAGTCTAGGATGTTTCGTCAGGGTTGTACTCCATAGGCAAGCCTTGAGGTTTACAAACAATCTGAGTAATTTTTTAACTGCAGTGCTACTATGTGAAGTTGTTGACCAACCTGTGGAGATAAAAAAAGGCCAAGTTTGTATTGACTAATGCAAAAGAATATCTTCAGAGAATTTATTAGAACCTTCCAGGGCAGCGTCCGTGACCAGTAAGGTGGATCAGATGCAGATGTCAATGCAATTTTCAGCAAAGCAATAGTTGCTTTGATAAATATTGCTCAAGACCTGACCCTGACCGACAAGAACCAATGATCAACTCCGACGTAGAGTCGGTACTGTTGGGCTGAAACCTGGAGGACAAGCAAATTCTCAAACCAGAAAAACCCAAAACATTCCTGAACATACGCTCATTCGTTCATTCGCTGGCCAGCGAATTCTCTGCATTCGCTGGCCAGACTCTATCAGTAACATCAGCCTTCAGGGAATGACTCACAACCTCTCTGTAACGGCAAAAATCAGGAAGAAAACATGGAGTTGGGTAGGACAGACTCTACGCAACCCGTCAACCAACATAACCAGACTTTCAAACTTGACTATCTAGAGGAAGTAAAAGTCGTAACAAGGTTTCCGTAGGTGAACCTGCGGAAGGATCATTACCGGGAAGACGGCGGCGGGGAAGAGGCTGTCCTCGGCAGCGACCCCCGTCCTCCGTAGGAACGGGGACGGGGGGCAAGCGTAAGAGAGGCCATCCTAGAAACACCAAGCAAGGAAGACATAAAAAAAGATTAGCTGCACCTGGAACCAACTTTTAGAACAAAATATGGATTATTTTGACAACTTTTCCTAGAACAGTGGATAGTCTAAGAAGATTATGCAAAAAAAAAGTGGTAAAAGACTGCTTTCTCTGTATAATGCCAGCACTGAATTAGGTGCTGGCATTATACAGCACCGAATACAGTGCTGTATAAAAGCTAGTTGAAAGTTGAAAGACTGGCTTTCAACTGTATTTGGTTTTATATTATCAGATATATCTCTGGTGACGTTAGAAAATGCATGATGGGTTTCAGATCAGTCACAACATAATGCTTCTGGCCCATGTGTCACTTCCCTCTTTGTAGATTACTTGTTATATTTCTGGACAGCAGAAGTCTACAGCCACTTTTGCATGTCGACATCTACCCAGCCTCCCATCATTCGACAGCGCGGCACAAAGCGATCTGAACACAAGGACTTACATGGTGCTCATCCTCCGTCCCGCCACGCACAAAACTTGTTTGATTTTGCTACTTCCACACAGAGAGGGCTGGTAGATCCACAGATGGGCAGAGTGTTTGCACCGTTGCCTTTCTCTGTAATCTATAGGCTGGCTTCTTTAGAGTATGAGCTGACAGCTTCATTAGGAGAAGGATGGGGTGGGAGAGGGTGCTTTGATCTAAAAATACACACAGTTGTCGCCTCTGGAGTGGAGAAAGTTCAAGTTTTCTGATCTTCTTCAAAAAGCTTTGCGTTTTGTCTTTGTTGTTTTGTTTTTCTTGTTCAAGGAGAGGCTGGCAATGGGAGAACGCAGCTCTGGTATTGAGGATGAATTAGTTTTTGTCCCTCATAGTGTTGTCTATTTGTGGAACATGTGAGTGTTTGGATGGCAGTTGTGATTTGGAATGGGTTTGGGCAGTACCACTTAACACACACCTCTGTTTTTCTCAGAGTCTTTTACTCGGCAGGAATGCAGAATTTGTTCTCTTAACTGGTGGTTTGGCGAATAAGGGACGTTTACTTCTCCACCTTGTGGCTCCAGTCCGCCTGCTGTGAAGAATCTGACGTTAAGAGGTTTTATACAACTTCCGATCTAAAATCTCTCTTGTTTCTTCTTCTCTTCCCTCTCTCAGAGCATAGGCAAAGGCTCCCTGTGGTCCATAGATCCGGAGTACAGGCACAATCTGATCCAGGCGCTGAAGAAAACGCCGTATCATCCTTATTCGCCCAGTTTGGCCACACCGTCCACCTCCCCACCCAGCCTGCCTCAGACATTTCACCACAGGTAAGAAACCAACAGAGAACAGCTGAGATCTTCTGTGGCTTGAATCTCCTTTGGTTTTACAGTTGACGATTGAGCCAGAAATAAATAATAGCTATGAGTTAGTGTGTTTTGATTCATATCCAGGTTTACCTTGGTCGGTAAACAACTTGTGCAATTGTCGATCTGACATAAACTCAACTTGTCCTGGGTCCCACGAGACCAGAAAGGTGTGTCACTAACCTGGTGCAAAGTTTGCTTTCAAGAATTCACATCTTTTTGAACCAAGTTCAATAAATCCTAATGTATTTCAGTTGGTCCTCAGCTGACAGAAATACACAAAGTAGCACATAATCATAGAAATAATGCTTGATTTTAAACAGTAGAAGCACATTCCTCATCTTTTTGGGCCACAATAAGTAACAACTCAACTAATCACACGATAAGTTAAACTGAGTCACAGTTTTCATTTGCATTCTTGTTTGTGCCGTTCACTTAGTCTTTTAAGAAAAGCTGCCCTTTAATATTAATGAAAAGCCGTTATTTTGAGAAATGCTTCAAACATTTTTCTTTTTTTTTTTTGCCCAAGTCCTAACTGGCAGTTTTGCATGTTTTTCCTGTTTGAACCTCATGATGAATCTGTTTTGAAGGACAATTTTTTATGTGTAAGACTTAATTATTCTTTTTATTTATTGTTTTGTCTAATTATTTTGAATATTTAAAACATTTTTTCATGTTCCAGTGTTGAATGTTCTTTTGAAATGAACGTTTATTGAGCTGTGAGAGTGTGTGCTTGAATACTTATCAGCTGAAAACGGTCACAAAAACAACAATATCATCATTTATCGCAATATTCTCTGGGACAATGTATCATCAGCAAAATATGATATCGGCTGCGACTCAAAAAATTACAAGTTTTGACCATTGCTCTGTGTGAAATAACTCAAACTGTCTAACCAGGTGTATGTGAATGTGATATGGATTTAGTTTTGGACTTTGACTGGTCCATTCTGACACCTCCATATGATTTGATTTAAACAATTCAGTTGTAAATCTTGCTGTATATTTTGGTGTTAGGTTAGATTTTCTCTCTGGAATATCCTCTCTGGAGTATTTTATTTTATTTTATTTAAAAAACATCACCGCAGCATAATTCTAGCAACACCATGCTTTCACAGAACAGCTGTGTTTATGAAGAGATCAAATCACCCACAGGATCTGGGAGCACTGGGAGAAAAAAACAGAAGAACTTGTTTTTTTTTCACAGATTTTCTTTTTCACAACAAAGTGATAGTTTTAATAAATATGTTAAAAAATTATATTTTATAAGAGTTTTATGCTGTAGATTTAAAGAGCAGATTTAAAAGTCTCCTGTGAGTGCTGAGTCAATAAGACGTCTCAAGGCATTTTGGGCATTTTTTGTATTTTTATTTTTAAGAACAAATAAAAACTATGTATCTTTTTTATCCCACTTGATAATAGTGCTCATATTTGTTTCTTTCTCTAACAAACTATGGCTTAGTCCAGGTGATGGACCTTTGGCTGGTCTCTGACAGGGTATATTATCCTATAGTTGACATGAAGTTAATGAAAATAAACTATTTATTTCTAATAAAAAGTAGAAAATCAAAGAGCTGTACCTGATAAAACAGTAAAACCTCCTTCCTCCTTTTTTTTTAATCATGGAGGTATTTTTTTTTATTAAGTTAAACTAAAACATGAAAGTGCAATTTTCTGCTTAAATGTTGCAAAAATATAGAAAATAATTGAGACTCGGACACTCTTGTAATAGTTTAGGTAATGACTGAGTCCTTTGACTATTTCATGAATAAAAAATAAAAAAAACAAATTCTGGAGGATAAAAGTTAACTGAAAGTTTCAAATCAGGTTTTTCTTCTGCTTTCACATGTAAATGTGCTTCAGATGTTTTCATTTGGAGCAAAAGTTTTCAACTCCAACACAGGTGGTGGGGTGAAAAAAAAAAAAAAAGCTTTCCCACGATAAATGACTCAGATATACTTTTCTATTAGAGTGCGTAGCATTTTAAGTGGATCGATGAAAATTAAAGACCACCAATCAAACCAATTATAACATAAAACCTACAGTGCGCATGCACCACCCAGTCTCCCATCTGTCGCTGGCGCTCTGCATCGGCGTGCTGCAGGCGTCGGAGCTGACCCGCTCCACCCTCCGTTACTTTTTATTTTTTTATTTTTATTTTTTGCACGCTGCTTTCATGCAACAACAGTCCTGTCTTTTTCGCCCTCAGGTGCATCTCAGGTACATAAGAAGGGGGGGAAAAAAGCCCCTTTTTTCTCTCTTTTTTTCGGCACATGTTCGCTCCATCAACCCCTCCGCCTCCCCCCACCAGCCTCCAACCCCTCTCTGCCGCATCTCCTCCGGCTTCTTCCACACCTCCCTTTCCCTCTTTTCTCTTGTCTCCCCTTTTAATGTCCCGCACACACCCTCCCGTTCGTCCTCAGGCATACAATTGCAACCGGCGAGGCAGCCTCCTCTTCATCTTCTTTATTTATCCCTGCTGTAATTCATCTCTTCTTTCCACTCTTTTCCCCTCTCCCTCCATCACTTTATCATTCAATTAAATCCTCCTTTGTCTACGCTCACTTTTTCACACCGCGCAGCGAGAGCATCCTCTCATCCTCGCTTTATGACCTCTCCACCTTCCTCCATCATCCTCCCCTTTTGCTAACTTCTCAGTATCCTGCACCTCCATCTATCCCTGCGGATATGTCAGACAGAAGTACCATTAGTTTTTTTTTTTTTTCCCCACCTTCTTCTTCTTCCCTTTCGCTGTGTCCAAGCAGCAGCAGCCCTCCAGCCCCCCACCCACCCAGCCGATCTGGGCAGGTTGGCTCGCAGAGCCAGCGGACTGTGTAAGACAGAATAATTGGTTCACCATAAAATGTAAAAGTGTCATTTTGAACAATGAGGTATGGGGAAGTGGAACAAATTGGAGGCTGGATTCGGAACATGGAGGGGTGCGGGGGGACTAGGCTGTTCATTTGCATTCTGAGACACACAGAGGGGAAGCGGGATAGAGAGAGAGTAAGGGGAACTGGAGGTCCCCGTGTGATGCAGCACCTGCACTCTCTGTGTGTGTGTGTGTGTGTGTGTGTGTGTGTTTGTACTGTATTCACTTCAATTGCAGCACACCGTTATTATATTTATAAAACGTCCTTCACAGCGTGTTGTAACATGAGATGTCTGCCTCTGCACGTGTTTCCACAAACTCCAGCGAACGGGTTTGTGATGGAAGTCTGCGGTGAAGAGTTCCTTTTTAGTGGCGCTGGAAAAGGAACTCTTCACCGCAGATATAGTTTTTACAAACTACATCTGGACTTTGACCTGGCCACTCTAAAACAGTGTTTTGTTTTGTTTTTTTTTTTTGTTTTTTTTTTTTTTTTTTTTTTATTTATATCGAGGCATTTAGAAGAAGAATTACACTGGAAAAGACAAAATCGTACCTAGTATTTTTTTTGTTAAGATCTCAGTGCACTTGAAAAAAGGCTTAACTTACTTACTAGTAACTTTTCATCAAGATATGGTAACTTAAGCCAAAAATTCATTAATATTGTATTAATAGAAACAGTTCTAATTCCACTGGCAGATTACTTTACTTACAACAAGACATTTTCCCCACATACCAGTAGTAGCTTCTTTTTTTTTAATCAATATAATGGAATCATTGACTTAAAACAACAACATATATCTTGCTGAAAATCTATTGGTAAGTTAGTTTTGATTGTCAATAATTACCAGAACTCGACGATCGCAGTGCAGGTTTTGCATGAGGTGAGATTGTCTTTTCGTGAGGTCACTCGGTATGTGGAGTGTTTAGCTTGCACTGTGGCGAGTTGTTGGAATCAACGACAGAGGTTGTAAAAAGTGTCGATCAGCTCGTGAAGAAAAGACAAATAGACGATTGTGTAGAATTTGCAAATTAACTTCCAGAACCGCATGTGTTGTATGATTGACTTCCAGACAACAGATCTTGGACTGACGTAACACGTCTTTGGTGTCTTGGACAGGTTTTGCTCAACAGTGATGTGAATCCAATTTGCAGCGCTAGAACCTGGACACAGGGTTCGGTTGTAACCTCTTGTGACCAGACTTGCCTCTTTCAAAGATGCTCTGCGAGAAACTCCAAATAGAACTTCTTCAGGCCTTCCAACAATGGTTTTCTTCTTTTGGGTTGTCTCATCCGATGAGTCGACCCAACAAGCAGTTGCAGATCCTTGTATCTGCTCCTCTCTGCCTCTCACTGACGAGTAGCTTTCGGGAGTTGATAGTTTGAGATGATAATTTGAACAGATGTTCTCTCCCAGCACAATATAGATACTGCTGAGGCATTTCTGGCTAAAACAAAGATGAAAGGGCGCTCTTACACATCACTAGCAATACCAAAAGCAGTTTCACATTGGCGAGACTAACAGCTAGAGTAGCAAAGATTTGAGAGTACACTCGTATTTCGGTGCAAATGCACCCGCTTTTCTTACTTCTTTCAATTGGCTGTTCTTTTCTTTCCCTTTCTGGGACTTTATTTTATTTACATGTTTTAAACCACGTGCATATTATAGGTTGCTAGTATTCTAGTATATAAGTTACACTATACTATAAATATGCTTATTTGCAAATTTCTTCTTAGAGCACACCAAAAGTATTCAAAAGAAAATGCAGCTTGGGGAACTGAAATACCCAAGCTGCTATGGCTTTAGAAGAAATGCAGCATTTTCTGCACACCTCAACATCCCATAGAAGAAAGTGTATCCACTCACTTTATTGCAAAAATGTTGCATTTTTCTTTGGTTAAAACCTAAAAATAGGAATAAAATGATGGTTCAGAACACATTTTCTGCTGTAGATGTTTATCATAAATAAAGATCATGTCACAGTTGAGGCCCTAAACAAGTTTTATTTAACTGGCTCTTTTTCTATTACAAAGGTTACAGACTCCAGTTAACCTGAACAGTGACCCTAAGCTTTCACCCTAATATACACAAGAACGATTTGGATAAAAACAAATCTATGCAAAGTTCAAACCTAAATCCAATGAAGAGCAGGGATACGGATACTTTTGTCTGCTCTATTCTGGCCTTTTGGGTGGTTTTATGTCAAATAAAACTTGCCTTTAGTTTGGAGGCTGTAACTCAACACGTTCGGCTCTGGTCTTATATTTTGGCCGTTCTCTGCCTAAGAAGTCAAGCTTGATCAATAGGAAATGATATCTCTCTCTCAAGAGCACTCACTCTGAAGAACAGCATGTATGAAGCTAAGCGACCGCAAATGGTTGCGCTGCATGTCTATTACGTTAAGGTCAAGGACTGTCTCCGGCACTCCGACGCAGCAACTGATAGAGACAGATCATAAAGGACGGGAGGGGGGGTGACGGTGGTGAAAGTTAAACCTGGACTGCCTCTTCTTCTTCTTTGTCCTCCGTTTCCTGTGTGGACCGTACTACTGAGTCCTGTCACCCCCTGTCTGACCCCGCCCACCTGTGCCTGGAGGAGCAGCTGGATGTTTTCAGTGCAGCTGTGTGCGTTCAATATGAGCATCATCAGATGGGTGTGAGTGGACGCAGAGAGAGCGAGAGGGAGGCAGTAAGAGACAGAGCATGCTGGGTAGGAGGTCAGCCCTATGGTGCATTCCTTCACACCCCATCAGCATCTGGATGAGAGGAAGAGGGGAGGGGGAAGGATGGATGGAAGGAACGCGTCTCTAGGGGGAGAGGATGGTGAAGGAGCTCTCCTCTCTCCTTTTTTTTCCCCCTTCCTTCCTCCTCCGGCATCCCTTCGAGGAATAAAAGCCGGACGAAGACGATGTGGCGGGAGTCAGAGGGCCGCCATCGTCAAACGCCTCCACCCTGGCGGGGGGGGGGCAGGTTAAGTCGGCTGCCGTCGCGCCGCCGAGTCGTTTGCTGGGAGGACTAGAGAGAGGAAGAATGAGATGGGTGCGGGGTGGGGGTGGCAGGGAAAACAGACGGGCTGTTAGCGCAGGAAAAATATGTTATCGCCGTGGCAACGCAATGTGGCAACTCTCCATGGCAACAGCAGGTGGCTCAGGGCTAAAATTTGCGTTCCTTGCTGTTGCTTTGCCTGTGTGTGTGAGTGTGTTTGCGTGAACGGGGCTTTGTATTTGTTGCATTGTAAGGACTATTTTTCTAACAAATGCGACGCAGCGGGGACCGACTGCTCCTTGTGCGTCCCAAACACAAGGCCCCAGAAGGAGCACTGCAGGTACAGGTAACGGTTACAGTTTGGGTTCGGCTGCAGAAATGAATGGAAGTCAACGAATCGTCCCTGTAAAGATAAAAAGACATGCTATTTGAGTGTGTGTGCGTGTACACGCCTGCACCTGTGCCTCCTTCAGCTGCTTAGTCCAACATAAAACACATCTCACATTACAAAGACAACTCGGCAGATGAGTGGAAACGAGTGCTGCTTTTGGACTTTCCGGCTTCTCCAGGTGTCTTCTGTTTTCTCTCCTCTGTGTTTGCATACAGTGTGATGAACCTCTGTCCATGTTGTCGCTCACTATGTTAGGGAGGGCAGCCTGTCCTGACTGCAGAGTTGGGGGGGAAGCAGTCAAGCGTGCAGTCTGACGGAGAGCTAAAGACTACTCAACCTGGAAAAGCTCTTCCATTCCCCCCCTCCTCCTCCGTATCCCTCCATCTTTCTGTCTGAATTATGGCCTCGCCAGCAGAACTGCGCCCATTGTCTTCTCGCGTGACTGTGCTCGCGAGTGAAGATATCTCCGTCTATGTGAGAAATGCTGTCATTACCTCCCTCATTAGTGGTGCAATGATCACCTAAAGTGAGTCCCCAGCTTTGTGTGTGTGTGTGCGTGTGTGTGTGTGCACTGAGTGCTTTTTTTGTACTGTTTCAATGGCTTCTTGAGGGTTTAAACTTGGATTTATGGTTAGGGGGATTTGATTGACTGTTGGCATGGTATTTTTTGAAATAGAGATGCTCAAATCATACATTTTCTGGCAGACTTCTCAACCCTGCTTCCGGTTCTGTTAGCCTTGCTAAAACTGTCTCTACAAGTTTTTCCTGCATAGATGTGCTGTGGTGATGCAGGGGTTAAACTCAACTCTCGTTGCGGCCGTCACATGTTCGATTCCCGTCCTGGCGACCTTTGCTGTATGTCTTTCCCTTCTCTCATTACCCACTTTCCTGTCAATGGACTATCAAATAAAGACCGCAAGAGCCAATAAAACCTTTAAAAAAATTTTAAAAATAAGTTTTTGCTAGATAATGTAGATCCTTCCCACAATTTGAGACGACGTTCACACAGCAGGCGGATGTGACCCAAATCTGACCTTTTTTTTTTTTTTTTCCACAAATGCAATCTTTATACAGCTTTTTCACTGTAATCTGAAAGGCCCAATTTGGATCTTTTCACATTAAAACAAATCTCATCTGATGTCTCTGACAGACTTCACTGCAGAAACTGCAGTTTTGTTTTCTTTTTATTAGTTCCCTTTGTGTTTGTCATGATCTTGTGACAATATCAGCTCTAACTAAACTTTAAAATCAGTCCAAAAATCAGTAAAATCATCTATTATCTAGGTCAACAAGTTCTTATGTCCTTCTCGTGGTCCCAGGTCCCTATGTGGTCATAAACCGTTCACACAGAAGTCTGATTATATTCACATTTAATTTAGAATAACTGACTATTCAAAAAATAATCTGATTTCAGCAAAAAATCTGAATCAAGACCTGCTTTGTGAACGTAGAGAGAGATTTCCAAAGGCTGCCGATATTTCTGAATGTTTTCTGCTGAAAGTCTGGCCTTCTCTGATGTCAGGATAACTTGAGTTTACGATGTTTTTGTTGAATACTGCAATGACCATATTGATTATAGTTAACCAATATTTCTATTTTGTGGGCGAAAGTGGGCAGAGAAAGTCTGTCAGAGAGACAGAGGACAAATTTCAAGGCGTCAAATTTCTTTTAAATGATATTTGATAGAGTTTTTATAACTGAAGGTAGCATTGTTACTTGATTTGTGCCACGAAATGTCAACATGTGCCTGGAAAATGCATAATACTGCCCTTTTAAAGAATGGAGTTTTAGAAAAGCGCTACCTTAATGAAATGACGGATGATGCACGTTTAGCATCCGTGCAATGGCTACCCTGTCAACGAGATGAGTGACTGAAATATTGGATTGGCAGCAACATGTTGGGGAAGGGTAATTCTGCTTTCCTCTTTGCTCCAAACAGCCTGGAGAAACTCTGACCTCTCATTGTAGACTGAAATCTGTTTGTATGATATGATGTAAATCCTTAGCGGGTCATGACCCTGGTTTACCTCAATGCCAACAGATAACAGTTTAGTTTTTATGCGCTCGCTTCAAAATGCGTCACCCCGGACGCACATAATCCGTCTTAAACGTGCCGTTAAATGCACACGCGCCGCCGAGGGCCGGCCGCGTGCGAACGTACCGGCGGCAGGCGGTTGGAGGGGATTGGGGGTGGGGAGGGCCGTCATGAGAAATTACCCCCGTGGACTGCAGCGTGGAGGCTGTAATTCTCCGAGGTAATCATAGGGAATAATGGCAACAGTGAGACACCCGGGATTCTAATCACTATAATCAGAAGCATTGGCTTATGGACTCAAATTCCTGCCTCGCGACGAAGCCGGCCAGGCTCGTCTGGCTGCTGCCGCGAGATCAAATGATTGACCAGTTCTCTCTCTCTCTCTGTCTCTCTCTCTCTTCCACTTTCCTTCTCCTTCCTCTCCAGTCCTCCACTGTGGTCGGGGAGCCCCCTCTTCAGAAAGAATGGAGGAGTTCTTCTACAAGGTACGGTCTCACCTCCGCAACTCCCGTTCTTGTTTGTGTGTGTGTGTGTGTGTGATCTCTCGCTTTCTCTCTCTGCCTCTCTTTCTCTCTCTCTTTTGTTTGTCTTTTTCACTTCCTCACCCTCTTTTTTCCTTCTTGCCCACTCCACCTTCCACGGATGTGCCAACTCCAATCATCTCAATTCCAAATCCCTTCGTTTTTAGAGGCGCACCTTGAGAATACCAAGCTCTGAGATCTGACTCTTGGCCTGCAGCCAGAGGAGGAATGCTGTTTTTTTTTTGTTTTTTTTTTCTGTCTACAGAAACATATTTCAGAGTTGTTCGTTTTTTTTTATTTAAAAAAGAAAAAAAGAATGAGACAATAAGAAAGAAAGAAACCGGAGACCCTCTTTCCACCGCCCTCTCCCCTCATTTAGGGTAACATATGTCCACTCTCACTTCCTTTTCCCTGTATTTTCCATTATTCCTCTCCTCCTCCACCTCCTCCTGCGGTGGCTGGACGGCAGTTAAAATGGACATTCAATCCCAATCAGGGAGCACTCCGGGAGCTCGCCGGGCCGCCGAGCCCTAAATGGAGGGGGAAATGGATACATTAGGCGTCTGAGGCGAGCCCTCCATCGCCGCTAATAATGGAGTAGTAATGGTCAAGGAGCCGGAGTCGGAGAGAAGAGAGGAGAGGGGGGCGCCTGAGAACCTGGACTCCCTCTAGTCTGAGTGATGACTCAACGTGGACGGACGGACAGAAAGGCAGGCAAGCGAGGGTTGACTCAGAGTGCAGGAAATGACAGGAAATGTGTCTTTTTTTCCTCTTTTTTTTTAAGGAAAGAGTGCAGGAATGGTCAGGTGTGATGTTCAGAGGAGGCAGGGAGAAAGGAAGTTGTGACAGACAGCCAGAGGCAACAACAAGCAGAGGGTAGGAGGAAGGTGGTGGCGGGAGGAGGTGGGGAAGGGCGGTTAGTGGCCTCACTTATTACTTCCATCTCCCATTCCCAGAGCTTTCAGAGCCGCTCTGCTCTGAGCTGATCTGGCCTGAAGTCTGTCTGTCCCTGTCACCAAGACAGCAGCAGTAAGAACACAGCGACAGGCTCTGAGAGATGAAGCCCCATTCTGACAGATTACCTCCCTCACCCCCACCCTCCCAAGTTACCCAATCACAGGGTCAAAAGAATAAAACACACCTTAAAAGGGCAGAATTATGTAAAATTCATGTTTTTAGCAAACTTAACTGCATCTGCTGAGCTCATTTTAAAAGCTACTTCTCAGTGAAACATTGGTTAAAAAAAATTATATATATATATATATATATATATATATATATATATACATATATATACACACACGCTTCTTTAAATAGAAAGCCAGTGACATACAAAAGATTATAATATCAAAGCTGTTTCTGTACCAGCAATATAAGCTCTCTTGAAGTTAATATAGTTAAAAAAAAAAAAAAAAAAAAAAAAGTGAGATTTCTGAAATCATCGACAAATAATTTCCTGATACCAAAGGTGTAAAAAGTTAGACTTTTGCAGCTGATTTTCTCTGTAGTAAGTCAATAAACACGTAAAGCATGATAGAAATCTTTTTTTTACAGACGCCACAACATTTTTACTTTTTTTTTTTTTGCCTCCATTATTTAATTCTATTCACCATCAAAATCAATATGCTTTTCATTTAAATTCAGCAGAGTATTAAATTAAACTCTTTATGATATGAAGTTGAACCATTCACGTTCACTTTGAGCAGCTCAGGTAATATATTTCCTTATGGTAATTAAGGAGACCAATATGTCATATTAAAATCTACAGTCCCTTGCTAAAGTAATAATACCCATTGAACTTTATTCATACTTTCTCATGTTACCATGATGAATGTGTGTTTTACTGGGTTAAACTAAGACCTTGAAATACATTTAATTAATCAAAAAAACATAATAATTTGGCTTGAAACATGTCATTTCCAGGTCTTAAATTTTGTCTTTACAGCACTATTTAATCTCGAATATTCACTGTTTTTTGTGAGACAATGAATCAGGCAATCAGCTGCTGACATACTCTTGTTTGCAAGCTAGCTTTTTTGCGTCTTTCCTGGGTAAGTCCAAAGTTACGACCAGTTTTCTGGACGACGTCTGGACGTTTCTGTGGTGAAATAGGTCTTGAATTCAGTTCATGTTAGCAAACACCTGGTGGAATTGCATCTGCTAAGCTGATTGTATGAGCCACTTCTCAGTGAAACGCTGGTAAAAACGTTAATGTGTTCATAGAAGAGTTGCTGTGATGACATCCTGAAGGCAGAGTTTCAGAAAGAGTATGAGTTTTTAAAGAGACAGAGGCCCAATTTCAAGGGCTTAATATACAAAGTTAAATTTGATGTATACAGCATTTTTATAACGACCAAAGGTTACTTGATTGTGCTACAAAATGCCACCATATCCCTTGATGATGTATAATGCTGCCCCTTTAAAAAGTTTGAGGTTTGAATTGGTGAAACTTACAAAAATCTTGTAGTAGCAGATATTTCCTAGGAGTCCTATTTCCAATGTTGATCAAACCGAAACTGGTTTGATCTGAGCATCTCTGTTGGTTTACTTTAGGCTCGTTTCTTGACTTGTTTGCAAAGCTGTATTATATTACCGTAATCAAGCGCTACTTTCCTTTTGTCTCCCCTCTACAAGTTCCAACACATGTCAGTCAGCCAAGCTCTTAAACTCTCTGCCCCAGTGTCGGATAGACAAGCCGGTTAGTCGTCCAGTTAAACTGCCAGCAACTTCATCCCACCAGCAATCCAGGCTGTCATTCAACCAGTCAGTCAGCCAGCATTAGCATGCATCCTGCCCTCAGACTCTGCTCTTTGCTCAATACACAGCAGCCAGGCGGACAAACGAACAGGGAGGGGAGAGGGAGGAAGGTAGCGGAGGGGGAGTGCCTGTTTTGACTGAGTGAGAGGCCGCCTTCAAACGGTTGCAATCTCAAGGTCTGCCGGGAGTGACCTGCGAACCGGTGGGGCTGTGAGAGCGAGAGCTGAGCGAGCGCTCCTCTGCCGGACGAGGCGAGACGACGCAGCCCAGAGGGCCATGTGGAACTCATTTAGGAGGAGACAGGAGGGAGGCGGGGAGAAGACGCAGGAAGCAGACAGAAGAGAGGGTAGCTGACCATGCTTAAGGGGGAGGGGGAAAAAAAAGCAGACATTCTTTCTAGGAAAATGCCTCAGATGCAAACAGTGTGTTCTCTTACCATCAAAAGGAATTTTTTACAGTTGAACGGCTTGAGGCTTTTAAGAGCGAAGCGCTCAGTGTTGGTGCGGTTTTGTCGCCTCATCTCCGCAGCATATGTCCCAGACTTTTCACCTGCAGAGACGGCATACATGCTCAGTAGGAGATATGAGTCACCAGTGTACACAGAATGGCAGCCAGATCAATACAGAGGGTGGTTGGCTGGGGGCTACCGAGGGGGAAAATATCAACAAGAGGGTGGAATTAGATGGACAAACAGGGTTTATGAGCAAGTGCAAATACGAAAATAGAGAGCGGAAGAGGGGGAAGAGTTGCCCACGCTTGGACTTGGCAGCCATGTGTTTGTGGGTGTGTGTTTGTGTCCACAGTTCCTACGCCGTCTGGAAGTCTTTTAGAAAATAAAGTATGGAAGTGTAGTGGCGTTTCCCCTTCAGGCCGATTCACTAAGTATCTATCTGTCCATTAATCCATCCATCTGTTAGTCTCTGTATTTATCATCTTCCCATCCATCTGTCCTTTCATCCATATATCTCTGTTAGTTCGTCAACTACCCAATATCAATGAATGGATTGGGTTCATTGATGGATGAACCCTGTAGGTCATCCATTGTTTTCCATCCATCTAGAAGTCCATCCATTACACATCTACCCATTCATCCATCTCTAAATCTATCCACTAGTCATCCATCCATCCATCCATCCATCCATCCATCCATCCATCCATCCATCCATCCATCCATCCATCCATCCATCCATCCATCCATCCATCCATCCATCCATCCATCCATCTTGTAGTCTATCCAATAGTCATCCATCCATCTAGAAGTCTGTCTCCAGCCATTAGTTATATTTATATCCATCCTTCTGTCTGGTTTTGAATACAGCTGAACGGACTGCTGGGACTGACCTGTGAACCCGTGGGGTTGTGAGAGCGCCTCATGGGCTCTCCAGCCGTGGGGCGTAAATTCTTAGTGGATTTTTGTGTTTCTCCTCTCAGAGTGGCTTCCAGAGGCACAGAGGACTCTGGATCAGTATGTCTGGAACAGCTCGGGGTTTCTCTGCGTGTTGAAGCGAAACAGTCCTCGGGTTGGTTCGCCGTCACTGTGTCAAACACAGCTTGGTATTTCCTCTCGCCCCCCTGCTTCTTTCTATCGCTTTCCCTTCTGATGCTTGATCCTCCACTCTGTGGCATGTTGCTATGGAAACCCAAAGCCCAATTGGAGCGAACGGGTGGAGACGGAGGGGACGTTCACACGTCAACCCGGGAAGACCTAATGCGCTACCCACGCACTCACACACACACACACACTCATATTACATCTCTATATTTTCACAAGAACTTTGCATTGACTTCCATTCATTTTTTTATTCATTTCTACAACACTTAACCTAATGATTGCCTGTACATGCTTAATCCTAAACCTTACCTAAACTCAGCTCACTCTTTAGTCCTAAATCTAATTACCAACACAAAAACAGCGCATCTTCTTATGAGGTCTGGTTTTTGGGGCTCTATAAAGAGCATTGGGTACTCACAATGTAGTATTCATTAGAAAAATTGACCTCGCAAGGTGAGAAATATTAAAACACACACAGAGAACCATGCAGCAAGTGATCAAGATTACAAAAGAGACTCTGTGCAGGGACTTACTTATAAGGTTATGGAGAGCAGCGCTGGCGATATCAGGGGCATGGCCATGCTAACAGCAGTCAATGAGATTACTGTGGACACAGCGGGCCGGGGAGAGCCTGAAAAACACACTTCCAATGGCAAAAGCACCAGCAACTCTCATCATATTTCATCTGGTTGGGCAACTCGCGTGTGCTACAGCACGAGCCAAATACACCAGGCTGTTGTCTGGGGGGGCCTCACCGTGACAACTTGTATGTTTTAATGAGCTTGCGGCTCCTGGGGCGAATTAAATTTTTCCTCATGATATCAATCATAAATTCAGCATTTGGGCTCAGATTTAACGTCGGGGTGGGGATGCTGGTGGTGATGGTGGGGGACACAGGCTTCAGCTGCAGCGTGTTTGTGCTGCGGTACATGTTCGCTGGCATTTGCACCTCAACAAATGCGTCTGTGGCAGACAAAAGGCAAACAGCGGGTCATCATTTGCAAAACACGAGCTGACCCCAGAGATGACAGCTGTTTTAGTGAACTGTGCGGCTCGTGGTGAGCAGTCTGCTTTGAATAATAAGAGCTTTGGGCTCAGATCTTTTCTTCTTCTTCTGACCTTCGGGAAGTTTCCCGGTTCGGTCCTTTCGCAGAATCAGGACAGATGCCGTTAGACGGCACGGCCTTGGCGGAAAATCCAGAAATTGCTCAGTTTTATTTTTATGTTTCTCTCAATTCTGACTTTAGTTTTATATTTAGACACATTTAGCTTATGGGCATTGAGTATTAAAGCTTTAAATACGGTATTTTCTTTTTCTTGTCAGTCTCACAACACTCAATAGGGTTGCAGTAAAGCCTGGTTTCATAGGCGTAAAATAAATGCTTGAATTATTTTACTTTTGCATTAATGTGCAGCTCTTAAACTCCATGTTTCTAACACAGATTTGGAAAATTGGCTGGTGTTTGTTCTTAAGCACTTACTTTATGAACTATTCACACAATGCCTCAGTATGGTGAGCATATAAGCCAGGATGAGTTGGACAGTATCTGTTGAGCTTTCCTCAGATAAAACAGTGTGTGACATGAGAGTTGTTAAAAGTTCTATTCTTACAGAAACTTTGAGTGAGATCCCAAACTCTTAACAGTTTATATGGTATCAAACTTTTTTCTATAAGTTTAAATACTTTTAGAAAGGTCTCCTTATAACATCAATCATAATTGACTAGAATTTGGGTTTTCTAAACTTTTTTTGAAGTGTAAATACTTTCGCTTGCTACTTAATGCAAAAGCAGCAACATTCCTTTTACGTTATTTTTGGGAAATAAAATAACACAATTTTGTCTTCCTTTAAAAAGCAAAAGAGAAAAACGGACTTCTTTGTTTCCAGCTGGGTTGCAGTGCACAGTTGGCGGAGACGTAAGTGTTGGGCTAAGAATTTTATGCCGATTTATTTATTTATTTATTTATTTATTTATTTTTTCTAATTTTTCACTTCCAACAATCTGTCAAGCACAGCAACCCAGAAGCTGGAAACATGGAAACAGTGCAGAAATCCACAGCTTAGTAGAACTTGCAATCCTCAGATCTTTCCTTTATGGATATTACTAAGTTAAAAGAAGTTCAAGTTGACTTCTTCTGAACGTCATGGTATGGATTTTATTTAATCACCAAGAACGTGGAATCTCATCAAAACTGACCTGTTGCCAAGGCGATTGACTTTAAATCACTCTTAATGCTCTTGTCACATGGCGTGAATTATTTCAACTATTCAATGTCTTCACGTCTGAAACAGGTCGCACTTATTCGGTCAGATTAGGCCAGTCAGAATCTCGTCCTAAGAGTCTTAATTCATGTAGCTGGTGTAGCAATTGAACCCAGTTCCACTGGGAGCCATCTACAATCCTGCTAACACTTCCTGCTCCTTACGTTGACATTTACCATAATCTAAGGACATAATTAGCGTGAACGCGTGCATCTCCAAATTATCGCCAGTAGATCACCTTTAAGTTAAGTACAGCCGATGGAGGGGAAAAGGAAATAATGCAATTTATCCCGGCTTAAGCTGGTCATTATTAGGCAGGTTGTTCTGTGCACTGCAAAACTTAACAAATACAAAGTTGGACTGACCAAATATTAAAAATTAAATAAACATCTTGTACATTTTTCTTTCTTCAAAGTATCCTTTTACTGCTTTAAATTTGCACATTCCTTTTACTCTGAGCATGTTGTCTTTAATGTCTGTACAGTGTTACTTTTTTTATTATAAAATTTGTCCTTACTATACAGTATTTTTGTTTTTGGGTGAATAATTATTCTTGAAACTTTCTTAGAAATCTGTTTTTCATAGCACCAACATTCAAATGCCCATGTCTTCTGCAATTTTTAACATTTATTTTTGATTGTTATGACTCTGACAACATTGCAAAGCTTCAAGCTCACATTTTCATAACCTGCAAATAACTCAAAGCCAGTCACATGTGCATGCTTCAACTTGCTGCCGTAACGCCTGAATTTTTCCACCTTTAGATAATAAACTTTCCTACAGACACATATTTAAAAAGCCTTAAATTCATATTTCTAAAAGGTAATTTGGCCTTAAGTGTTAAATTTTATTATTGCAGGATTATTGAATCTTGTAAGTAGCTTTTTTTTCCCGGGACGTTATACCTTCTTGCAGGACTAATAAAACTTTGTTAACCATTATTAGTTGTATAAGCCTGATTTGATTCATTTGCAAAGGTGTATACATTTTTATACCTTTGCAAATAATGAATCATTTGCACTCGCTGTCACTGGTGACTGCAAATGCATCACTAATTGGCTGGAAGACGTTTACTTTTACCACTGGTTCACTTCTACTGCCTGTCATAATTAGAGTTCTTTTGGTCACATATGTCTTAAAATTTCTTAAAAATTGAATTTATAACAATATATCTTATAATCTATCATTGAAGAAGCTTCCAGCAAAAATGCTGGGACCACATTTATTTACTGAGCATCAGCTATTTTTTATAGTTTATTTTTGGAAAGCGGGTAACTGAGGAGGTTTTACGATGGGTACAGCTACTTGAAAAATCAGTTTACGGTGTGGGTTATCGTGGACATTGTCGTTTTCTATGCTGGTCTCTGACTCATGACGTTGATTGAGTGGAGACGTCGACCTGCAGGTTTGTTTGTAGGGTAAATACTGCCCAAATCCCCGACTCAAGAGCAAAACAGGAGTGCTTCAGGTGCAGTTTGAAATGCCGCCACCACCGCTCTCCCTACACGGCGTCAGACGGGCTGCATTTAGCCGAGCCAAGCGGTCGTGGCTAATCGAATGAATCAAAGCGGCCCTAACTCATTTATGACGCTTTTCCGCTCAATTTAAGCTCGCCTTGCTCATCAATATCGCCCCGTCGTCCTCCTCGGACGGCTGCTGCATTCTCATCGAGACTCGATCAGTTTTTGTCGAGACGGTTCCTCTATTTTTATCCCTCCCTCTTTCATAAACTGATTTCAGGGTTACAGGTTGCAGGAAGGATCTGTATCGATGTCCTTTTCTTTTTTTTTTTTCTTAAGTGTTTATAAATGCTTCTCTCTTCCAGTTCCCCGAGGCGTGATCCAAAACGGCGCTCGCGTCAGGAGCCAGGCCCTCTTCCCTGTCATCAGACCCCTTCCCGTAAGCCCCGTGGGGAGCAGAACCTCGGCTATAAGGTGGGTAAACTTTGCCCTTAGACATATAATTAATGGGATTTCCCAGCGCAAACGGCTCCACCTACACCCTCGAAAAAAAAAGAAAAAAAAATTTCCACTCGTAGTTTACATAATTATATCTTTATTGTCTCCAAAAGTCAGGCTTTCACACGCTCCCCCCGTTGCTCTGAACATTTGATCCAGGTGTGTTTATGTAATGCGCTCCTTTCCTCAAAAACACACACAAACAGGTTTATTAGAGGGAAAGGCTTTTTGATCCGGAGAACATATGCGGCATGCACGGACACGCACATCCATCACCAGAGCATAAGAGTATAATGGTCGGCGCGGTGTAATGAATTAAACATAGCCGAGGGCTCACTGGATGTATGCAGTGAATATTTGATCACTGCGAGGGGTGCGTGTTTTGCTTATAAGATATTAATATGCTAACTCTCTCATTCTGAAGGAGAGGATGTCTGCGGGACGAGGCACGCTCCTGAAGCTGCTGCTGATTTATGGCTTTGCAGGATATCCCCCCCCCTTTTCCCCCACACCTCCCCTCACTCCGCCTCCTTTAGTGCTGTACACAACACAATTCTCTCATTATTTCAGCAAAATAGTGAGAGAATGATGCTTGAAAAGTATGAGCATCCCTTGAACTTTTCAGAAATTGATCCGTTTCTGATAGATCAATATAAATCAGTTCTTAATTGGGAGTTGTTTAAAGGTGCAGTACCATGTAAAATTGACTATTTTTTTTTTAGTTTCATGTCATGTTATAATCTTATTCCCTCAGCTAAAACACACCTGGAGTGTTGCTTTGATTCTTTCATGCATGCTTCCATGGCAACCATTCAACTCTGCAAAACACACTCAGCTCCTTCAGACTAGCCAGCAACAATTAGCAAACACCTGGTAGAACCACACTTCTGCTGAGCTTCTTAAAGGAGCTCATCTCAGTGAAACACTGGTAAAAATGTTAAGGGGTTAACAGAGGAGCCATGTTGTGATGACTTCCTGAAGGCGGAGTTTCAGAAATTGCTGGAGTTTCTTAAAGAGACAGAGGCTCAATTTTCCAGTTGTTAAATCATGTAATCAAATGTCTTTTAAGTCATGTCTGATGTATACAGCATTTTTATGACAACATATTCACTTGCTTGTGCTACAAAATGATACAAGGAAAACCCATCATACCGTCCCTTTAAATAACTAAAGTGAGGTCTCCATTTGCGTTCAGCCTCCTTCACTTTGATAACTCTAAGGATACCATCAAAGGGGGTATCACACTTGATAGCTTGGTAGACTCGGCTCTACTAAAGACTGGTGTTGCAGCATTCAGCAGTTCTGGTTCTCTTTCACACTGCACTGTGTCAAACAATCCAAATCCTTTGGAAAATCCTGCGGCGCTGCTGCACCAAGAACCACTGAGGGAAACGATACAAGAACCTCAGAAGACGACATAAGCGTAACTTCCCTCTTCGTAAAATGTAAACGAAACATTTTGCGAAGATTTCTCTTTTGTCCTTGGTAACAAACAATGAGTCTTTTCTCCTGCTCGCGCAAGACTAGACATTTGTTTTGGTTGTATTTACCCAGAATGCTTTGCACTCGTCCTGAGTTACCATTGATATATTGGCTGATTCGTTGACTGAAGCTTCTTGGTTTGCAGTCGTGTCATTAATTAAAAGTCTGAAGGCATTGGGTTTCATTTGTTTGCTACAAATGTGTTGTCCAAATTGATGCGTCCTTTTTCTTACACGTCACACAAAAAATACTTTGTGCTCTATCATAAACAAATAAATTCCCCTAGAACGCATAAAAGTGTAACGTCAATGCGTTTGATCGTTTTTGTGGAAAACTTGAAATATACTCACAAATAAGAAAGTAGCGTGAAAAAGTTAGGGAATCTGTCGCAGAAATTTCTTCAATTACAGAATCATAAAAAAACTGGAGACACTGATTGATGTAATTTCACGGTATGTTATGTTGAAGGTGGTTATGGTGGACTGGATTCAGACCCCTGGCCTTGCATTTGACACATGTACTGAGTTGTCTTTTTATGGTGTAAAGCATTTTGAACTGCCTCGTTGTTCCTGAAATGTGCGATACAACTTGATGAACTTGATTTTGATTTCCCGACCAAAGAAGTAACATTATGCACACCTGTTCCATGTCCAGATCATCCCTGGGAGATTTCCTTAGCCTTGGAAAGGACAGCCCGTCCCGCTACTCCCCCAGCCCCTGCGGCGAGGACCTCCAGGACGACCACACCTACAGCACCGCCAAGTCCCCCGGCAGCCTGTCCCCCTCCGAGATCACCAACCCTTCCTCCGCGCTAGAAGACGACGACATCATCGCCGTGGAGATCCAGTCAGACGTCAAGCCGGAGCCCCGAGAGATCCCGCTGGACTCTCACATAGCCACGGCCGCTGCCGCCTACGTTTCCCAGCAGCCCCCGCGCGGACAAAGACGCAGCTCGGCGGCCGGAGCCGGGACTCTGCCGGGCAGCAGCCTGCCCTGGACCAAAAGCCGAGCGAGGGGCATTAGCGACACGCTGCCGCTGAAGAAGCGGCGCGCGCCGGAGAAGCCGCCGGAGAGCGACGACGAGGAGATGAAGGAGGCGGCGGGGTCGCTGCTCCACCTGGCCGGCGTCAGAGCCTGCCTCAACAATATCACAAACCGCGCCGCCAAGGGCCAGAAGGAGCAGAAAGAGACCCTAAGAAACTAAAAAAATAACAAAAAACATACTCATTCAGACACCTCCGAGCACGCACACCCAACACGCACCCCACACACACACACACACACACACACACACACGAGTACACAAATAGGTCAACAGGTAACGTTACTACAGCATTAGTCTCGACAGACACTCGTCATCTCCCTCTATCTATCTGCAGGGCATTAGGTGAATCCTACTTATTTGTGGCAATATCAAAAATCAATGTTTTCCTACATGTTCAGCAACACTAACATCAATGGGTATCTCTCATGTGTCTATGTTGGGTTTTTTGTTGTCGTTTTAAAAAGGGGATGAAAGCCATAAAAAAAAGCATGTTTTGTCACTAATTCGGGGCGAGCAGAGGAAGTACGCCGCGCAGCGAGCGCAGGATGGCTGTTTGTCCTTTCCTGGTTTCGGTTCTTTTGTTTTGGGTTTTGTTTTGTTTTTCCCATATTGAATCTGTAGCAATCTCTCAGCGATGCCAGCTAACGCGGCGGAGACCCGCCTCTTCGGGCGGCCTGGGGGGGCGGGTGGGGCGGGGGGCATCGCTCTCTTACACCCACGAGCACAAACGTGAGACTGTGCCAAAGATACGCGACCAGGTTGCTTCATGTAGCCGATGCGACAGCCGACGGAGAAGAAGGAAAAAAAAAAAAAGAAACGGAGAAGGCATCGTAAAGAGAGGAGTGACCTCAAGTGTCAAAGTAAAACCCAATGTGATGTATATTCAATGCACTTAAAATTATTTTATGCCACTGACATGGAGAAAAAAAAACCTGGTTTATTTCGAGAGCACTCATAGTATTTAAGGATAAAATATCTTGAAATAAAATAAAAAAATAGAAAAAAAAAAAGAAGTCATGATTATCACAATAGAGACAGATAGCAAGCCGGGTCTGAGGCAATATCTCCTTCATTTTGTTGTTCTTGTTGCATCACGTAGACGTCGTCAGCACCTCCGTTCAGAGATCATAGCTATACCCAGTAGCTGCCACAACTTCCTGTCCAGCCGACAACGCCAACTTTCCACGTCCGACCCGCTGGGCTCGGCCCTCTCCTGTCCGTCGTGTCCCCCGTCTCCAAACCCCCTCACTCTACCTTCATAAAGATATAAGCAATTTGTCCCGCGCGGGCAACTCTGTACAAAGGTTAGAAAATATTTTATTTTTTTTCTCCCTTTTTCTTAATTGAAGCAATTTGACCTGCAGGACTTTCTCAGTTATATTGCATGGGTGCTTGTAAATAAGATGAGAAGCAAAATCTTTTTTATTCAAAGATTCATGTAAGATAAACGATGTATTTAGCATGAAGCATGACTTATTTTCATATAAACCTTGATCCTAGAGGAAAGGAAAAAAAAAAGATTTTTTTTTTCTGCCAATTCTTATACCTGTGATTATGGAGGTTCTTTTTGTTTTGTTTTATCAGGGTTTTTTGTTGTTGTTTTATTCTTCGGAGTGGGCTTGTCTTCAGGCAGGAACGTAGATTAGAGACCTCCACCCCCGTAGAGGGGCGGGTGGTGAAACCTCTAGGCTTCGGATGTCAGGGCCAGCAGAAGCGCCTCTTTTGAGGGGTGGCGGGATGGGGGGGTGTAGGGTGGGCTTCCGTCTACTTCTGCCTGTCGGTCTTATTTCTTTTCAGCGTTTTAGTTTTTGATTTGTCGGAGTGGGCTTTTCAACGACACGTCTACAGGCAGGAACAATTAGAAAATCCCCTTTGCACCCCCTTCCCCAAGGGTGCCACCTCTTTATGGGGAGGGTGGGCTTCTGTCTTCCTCTACCTGACTGTCTTTCTGTTTTTGTTTGTGATTTTTTTTCTTTTATTGTAGGTTTTTCTTGTTGGTGTTCAGTGTTATCCCCACATTCCTTCCCACCCCCGGTGTGTCACTACAGATCTCGTCTGTGGAGTGTGTGAGCCAGTGTGTCCGAGAACACACACACCCTTTAACGTTGTGCCTGCCTGCCGTCAGTCGCTCTATTTACACAACAGAGCGCCACCTATATTTATTTATAACAGTATTGTTTTGGTTTTATTTTTTGTTAAAGGGGGGAAGATTTTTTTTCTCTTTTCTGGCGTGTTGATGTACATGTGTCCTTACTTTCCATTGACATTGTTCAGTGTAAATGTATGAATCAGTTGGGCATGGAAAACTCTGTAGGTGTCCTGAATAAATCCCATATTCCTCCCTCCCCCCCTTCAAAATGGAAAAAAATGTTTACCTTATAGGAAACGAAGAGGAAGAAATTTTGTTTTCTAAATTAAATACAGTATTTTAAATTCTTTAATTTAAGAAGAGGTTTGCTGCCATTTTAGAGGACAAAAAACACAGTAGGAAACTTTTGAGGGCATATATTATTATTATTATTATTATCATTATTTTCTTAACGTTTTTCTGACCAAAATCAAGAAGGGTGTAAAGATTCTGCAAAGCGACGACGCAGCCAAACGTTCCCGAAGAGCGACGCCAAACACAGGCATCAGTACGAAACACAAAGGCACCAAAGACGAGTGTTGTGATTGCAAAGTGTCCAGCTAGAGGTCATAATGTGAAAAATTGTATGATTAACCCCTTAAGGCCTAAGTTTCAAATGTCCGCCTGGATATTTTTGCTTATTTAAATTGTATTTTAATTGTTCTTTAAATGTCCTGTGAGTAAACATATTTGCCCGTTTATCCGTGACGACTGGAACTTTCCATATCTAGCGAGTTATTTGTGCAATTTACCATCTAGTAAAAGATGCAACCGCAGGGAGTGAAATTACCGTAATATCCCAATATCGGCCGGAAAGCGCAACGTCTCCCCCTTCAGAAACGGTTGGAATTTTTCAGATAGTTTGAAGGAATTACGGTACTGCACATTTGGATGGATCGTAGGCACTACATTTGGTCTGGAAGGGTTAATCATACAGTGAGGAGGAGGAAGTCGGGAGAAATGTCGTCCGAGAGCTGGAGCTCAGAGACCTAACAAACCGGCACCCCAGGGCAGGAGTTAAAAGCTATTTCAAGATTGGTGGGCCTGTAATTCACTACAATTGTGACAAAAATACTAGCAGTAATTCCGATTCAGATTTCTCCTCTAGTTCTGACTGGTGTTGTTAATCTGATGTCCTTAGATTAGCTAACTTTATGTTACCAAACCATGCACGCATTCAATACCTGTTTATGTTAGAGTTCAATTTCACAACAGTGGCGTAGCTGTAGAAATTGGGATTCTGTGGATGACTTTTGTTGCAAAATTAAAATTCTCTAAAGGCCTTTTTGCACCGCGTGGGTCGACCCGGATTCACGCCTGGGTTTGACATCCTGGCCAGTAAAATTTGAAGTCAGCCGAACCAGAGAGGTCTGAAGTTTGTCCCTTAAACCAACATGCTGTTTCACTCTCAAACAGAACTTTAAGGTAACAAATCTTCATATACGACCAAACTGCAGTTACAGTTAATTTCTCTTCTCCAATTGGCTCCGACACGGAGAAACAGCTGAAGCTATTTAGCGTTTTTGTACCAACATAACAGAAAAGTGTTGTAGACGGCAGCGTTTTCCTTTCTGACACACTTTATTCTCACAAACAGCAAGCTACTGTTGAGTCTGCATGAACTGTATTTTATCACCTCCATTCAATTTTGGGGTCGTTCCTTCCCCTAAGTCAAAAGAGATTAAAAAAAAATTCCAAGTGTTTCCAACATAGGAACTTTTTCAATTGTTTGTCTCCAACATGCGGCGACACACGCACTCGACAATGAGGCCCATCAGACACCGTATGTGGCGCTTCCTGTTTTTAGATAATTGTACCTTACTGTCAAAAGAGTGAATTGGATTTATCTGTTTAAAACACAAAATGTTGAAAGTGTGCCTTTCTGTTGTTTTCCTAAACAGTCTGCTTTGTTTCTTTTATGAGAAATGATGTGAAACATTAAAGAAGAGCGCGTCAAAGTGCTAATTTTCTGCCAGCCTGGGTTGTTTAGAGTAGCAGAGAAGGAAGAGGTGTGCGTGTTCGTTTTTTTTTTGTTGTTGTTGTTGGTAAGCTGACTAGACACTGAGCGGCTGTGAGCAGGTCGAGCCGGAAAAACAAATGCATGTCCCGTTCACCGGTATGCTCCTTTTGCCACCTGTAGCATGCATCGCTGACTTTCCATTCCGTGCATACGGGGAAAAAAAAAAAAAGGCCAAGAGGAGACGCAGTCGGAGCGTCTGGCTGTGTGCCATCCGTCTCGTTTCTGTCTGAGCGTTCCCGCCGGCCCGGGTCGACGATCACTGGGCTGCGTTCGACGTAACAACCCCTCCCACACACACCCACACACACACTCTTAAAAAGCAAAATAAAAAAGAGTCGGTTTTTTAACGAAGGCTCGTTTTGTTTTTTTTAGTGCGACTCCCCTTGTATTTTGTCGTGAAGATAAAATCCGGCTTTTAACGTCCGAGAAAAACCTCAAATGAATTTCTTTCCACTGCCTGAGAAAGCGATCAAGATTAGTGATTTTAATTTTTCGCCCCTGCTGAACAGAACCCACTCATAAACAAATAAAAGGTTTTTGCCAACTTTTTTGTTTGCTTTTTCTAGTTTTTAATCCCATTTTTAAATTATTATTATTGTTCTTATTTCTCTCGTTCGAAATTCCTTAAAATACTGCCATTGTTTCTGCAGAGCTGAATCTTGGAAAGCCATAGGTTCGAGATGTCAAAGGTCAAAGCCGTCGATGACTTGCGAGATTTGATTCGGAGTGCACCCGGGTGTTGGTTCCTACTTTTAGTTTTTTGATTGGTTTGGTTTTATCTCAGTAAGTGTTCGGTTCTCTCCTTATTGTGCAATCATGTTGCCAAAGAATGATTTCAAGACCTACTTCATCACTACATGTAAATATCAACGTTGTCCAATGCCGTGGCAAAAAATATATAAATGTCGTTTTTCTTTTCTTTGTTGTTTTGTTTTCCATTTTCTGAGAAACTACGATGATGTTTATGTGATGTATTGTCTTCCAGTTGGTTGCAATAATAAAAAAAATACAAGTTGCAGAGAAGCTTGGCTGTTTATTTCTCAATGGACGGTGATTTATTGTCATTGGACGAGGGTTTCCTCTAGTTTTGGATGCTGGAAAGATTATCGCTCTGACTTTTGTGCCTTCAGACAGTCGTGTAACCGTGGCAACAAGGTGGCACAGCAACAGGGTCCTCAAGTCAGAGTCTTCTTCAAATTCGTTGCAAGACTGACTGCTACCTGCTCCCTGGATCGACTGAATTACAGCATTTTATTTTCTTTTGAGATAAACTATTTCTGAACGGAACTACATAAAAATAAGAAATCAGAAAGTAAGCACTGTCGCATAAAAGTATTAAACTCTTTGACTTTTTAACATTTTTTTCCACATTTTCTCATATTGCAACCACAAACTTTGTCTTTATTAAACAAATCAACACAAAGAAGTTTGTGACTATAAAGTGGCCGTTAGGGAGAAGGGTGACCGGAAAATTTATGGATAAAAAAAAAAAAATAATTCCCTTCTCACCCACCGCGGGTGGTTCTTATCCTCTGAGCTCGGGTCCTCTACCAGAGGCCTGGGAGCTTGAGGGTTCTGCGCAGTATCTTGGCTGTGCCAAGGACTGCACATTTCTGGACTGAGATGTCTGATGTTGTTCCTGGGATCTGTTGTAGCCACTGCTCCAGTTTGGGGGTCACTGCCCCGAGGGCCCCGATGACCACAGGCACCACTGTGGTCTTCACCTTCCAGGCCCTCTCCAGTTCTTCCCTGAGGCCCTGGTATTTCTCCAGTTTCTCGTGCTCCTTTTTCCTGATGTTGCAATCACTTGGTATTGCTACATCTACCACAATGGCTTTCCTCTGATTTTTATCCACTACGACAATGTCTGGTTGGTTCGCCATTACCATTCAGTCTGTTTGCTACATATATATATATATATATATATATATATATATATATATATATATATATATATATATATATATATATATATATATATATATATATATATATATATATATATATATATTCAGCACTGCACATTCCATCACACTTCGATTACTCGAGGGTAAATCCATTGAGCTGACAGAAGACCAGACCGTATTGGGTCTCATTTAATTGTTTTCCACTCCGAATCTTAAGTTAAATGTAGTCGAGGATGAAGCACGAGAAAGCAGCAGGCCTCTCTTCGCCTTCGCGCCGCTTCCCACACTTGCGCCGCTTCTCCCCCGCTACCGGGGGCCCGCCTTTGTGAGACTTGAGAACTCTTTAATTTGCTCTCCAGCCTGACCCCAATCATTAACCTCGCACATTCCCCATCAACAAGGGTCTTATCATAACCGCCGCTCCTCTTCCCAGTTAATTATTCATTTACCTCCTCTAATCGTTTAAGTTCAATACGTTGCGATTAAAGTCTTGCCCACCTCCACCTTGGGGAGAGAACTGTGTGTACGTGTAGGTTGTGCGTGTGGAAACAGTTAGGAGTACCGAAGAGTTCCTCAATGCCTTTTCAGTCTAAGTGGTGGCATTTCGGAGTCGTGTGGCGGTGGAAGCCCATTCATAATTGAAGCGGCGAGACCGGCTTCATCTTGAGCCACTGTGCCGCACGCTCCCACCACAACACAACTGGAGCCAGCAGCTCCTCTGTTGCTATGCAACTATAGCAAAGAAGAACAGGGGTGCGTGCAGTTGGGGGGGTTGGGGGGGGAGGGATGCACGTTTTCAACATCTTTCGGAGGGCATGCTCAGGAAACAGCCGCGGCCGACTTTTTTCTGCTTAAACACTCCAGATGAGTCACATGGCCTCCGAGCATGTTTCACCTCACAATCTTGAAAGCAGCAAACAGAAAGGTGAGTGGATTCAAGGGAACGTGGTGGATGACCTTAATAATAATATTAATAATAAGAACAATAATAAAAGGGTGCCATGCCGAAGCGTCAGGTGGACCGCTGCAGAACGGGTTACCCTCCTCGTTTCCCCCCCTGCTCCATATCATCCACAACCACAGAATGACCAGCGAAGCAAGTTTCCATGGAGACTGAAGTGGAGGTTACGATTCTTCTGTCAGCTTGGATTTATTGCAAAGGTTTAATGTATATATATTCATTGTTGTTGTTGTTACTTTCCTCAGCTGCTCACAAGGATGTCTGCATATCGTGAAGGTTAAAAAAAATAAATCACTTTTCTTCCTTTTTTTTTTTTTTTTTTTTGGTTAATGAACGCCATTTAAAATAGTTGGATGCTGTGATATTGTGCTCTGGAATTGCAAAGAGATGCGGTTCTCCTTTTATGTGGTGTGTTCGCCCTCTGGTGGCAGCACCAAATAACTACACGATTCAGTGAAAACCTCCAAAATAAATGTTCAATCTTTATTTACCCATTTATACTCCTTTTGACTGATGTTGAGACTAATCTTGAAATTAATGTGAGTCAGAATCTGTGGAGGGAAGAATGTTGATTTAAATTCAATTCAATTTAATTGAAAATGCTACATATAATTAATGTGACAGTGTCATTTATTTTTTACCAGAAAGTTTTTTTCTTGTGAATTTTACATAACATTTCTTCTAAAACGCCTTTTCTTCCATTGTTACTATTTATGGAATTAAAAATATGATTATTAGCATTTATTATTAGCAGTAAATATCTTCATATATTAGCATCTGATGTAAACTATGCCTACTTCCTGGCAGAATGTGATTAATTCCTGACATACATTAAGTCTTGTTATTTTCAGTTGGCCTAATTAAATAAATTAACATCACAAAGCATGATTTAAACTAATGCGACAGCGGAGTCGCTTTATTTACGCCCGTTTCACGTGTGAACTACGTTTCCCAGCGGCCGCCATGGCGATTAGTCATCGTCTCCCTCTTGCAGTCTCGCGATATGCGACACTTGACCCTGCCCTATGTTCGGCGCACTCGCAGCTCCATCGCTCAGTATATAAAGCAGGACAACGACGGGAGGAAGACGGCTGGGGAGTCGCAGCCCGGGGATTGTAAATAAGACCGCAAAAAACTGTGTTTTATTTACAAAAGCGATACCGGCTCTTTTCAAAGTACCGCTCACAGTCGTTTTAAGTCTTTTTTGTCGTATTTTTTATTTTTTCTTTGCCTCTGTCTCTCGCCAATTTCCGTGTGGTTTGTACACTACGCGTATAATGGCGAGCTCGGCTAACTCGAACCAAGTGGTAAGGATCAATCTCCGAGGACTGTCAGTGAGAGGGGAAGAATGGGGCCGCGGGGCGGGGGGTAAACTTTATTTCTCGCAGTCAGATAAATGTGCTGTAACCAACTCACCACTGTTTTAAGTCCATTAAAATGACAGAATCAACGTTCAGTCAAGCAGCCATTATTATTATTATTTTTTTTTTCATTTTTGCGAAGCTCGAGCTGTTAAACCAGGATACTATTGCAGGGGCAGAATTGAACAAAAAACAAAACAAAACAAAAAAACACACACTAAAGAATTACGTTGTTTAATGCAGATTAGAATTTAAAAGTTGTTTATTTCGTTAGGTGAAAGCTTTATAAATTAGTTTGATTTGTTTGCTAGTTTTTTTCTTTCTTTTTTTTTTTTTACTTGTGTTGGAGATCTGAGATATTTTAACGTTTAGCTGGCTAATATTACAAAAGACTTGTGAAACGCAGATGTACCCAAAGCACAGTCACTATCCACTCTGGCTTAAATAAGCTTAATTTTCACAACATTAAAGCCTCAATTTTGTGGAAAGTCTTCGACGGTCGGTCGGCTGCCTCGTCTTTGTCCACCATTTCCACGACGAGAGGGCGCCGAAAAGACGTCCTAAACCACACATTTTATCCACCCAAAAAACAAACAAAACGCCAAATAAGTCCTGCTCCCTAACGTCAAAGTCAAGTCGCTTTCGTCTGAGCCGAATATTTTTAGGTAAAAACACGGGAGGATATCTCCTCACGAGGCGCGGAAGAAGGCGGCTGCACGCGCTGCTCCGTAAAATGGCCTCCCCGGGTCTGCTCTCCTCTCTCGCGCTTCTGGCCCTCCTCCTCTCCGCTGCCTGGTTTTATAGCGCCATATTGGCCGTCTAATATAGACCGGCCGGGATGGGACGGTGCTACACGACGCTACGTCACTGGCTCTACATATAAACACCACGCTGTGCTTTAAATAGTGGAGGAAACCGACGGGGGCCGAGTGGGGAGGGAAGGAAGGAGAAGACCCGAGTTGTCCGCCGCGGACATCGGGGGCGGCCTCGGCGGCTGGCCGCTCCCGGACCCAGGCTGTCCCCGCAGCGTCGTGGACATTTTAACAGTGTTTGTTGTCGTGAGCGCTGTTGCTCAGTTCTGGTGGAGTGGGGATGACACTGGAGGCTCAGCTGCCATGATCCATCCATACGTTCATCCTGGCTGTGCCTCCCAGCTGGGACGCAATGTATTTTAACTCATTACATGTTAAAGTCAACATTGTGGCTATTTAAAAGGCTTTTCTTTTTAACATCACATCCTCAGTTGTTTTTTTTTCTCCCAATTGCCAGTTACTTATTATTAATCTTGCAAAATATGTTATTTAACATCAGTTGAGCCCTCTTTTGCATCCTCTATTAAAATCAAAATGTTTTGTTTGCCTCATCCCAGCCTAGATTATACAGGGGTGTAATCGAAGATGTGATCAACGAGGTGCGGGAGCTGTTCCTGGACGAGGGAGTGGACGAGCAGGTCCTCCTGGAGCTGAAAACGGTAAACCCCCCCAAAAAACGTTGCACGCCCTCCTTCCACCCTGTTTAGCCCCTCTAAAGCGTCTGTTCGATGCCGCAGCTGTGGGAGAACAAGCTGCTGCAGTCCAAGGCAGTGGAGGGCTTCCACACGGACGAGCAGGCGTCCCTGCAGGCCACCCAGCAGCAGGTTCAGCACGTCCCGCAGGTCCAGCAGGTGACGCAGCCGACGCAGGCCCAGCAGGTCATCCTGCCGCCCCAGCAGCAGCAAGGTAGGCAGACGCATTTACAACACATTCTTCGAGGAGATGCAGTGGAAATGAATGCATCTTTGATTTATGAGTAATATTAGTAATAACAATAATAATAGTCGCCTTGAGAGCCATGATGTTGAGCTGAACATGCTTCTTCTTTTTTTTCTTCTTGCCCTACAGCAACCCCGCAGCAAGTCATTGTTCAGGATCCGAAGATTCTCCAGCACATGAGTGCAACGGGGATGGTGAGACGCTGTTTTTTTGTTATTGTTGTTTTTTATAAATTAATCTCATATTTATACATCTCTTATGACTTGCTCAGTTGGAACGATGCAGGTTTTTCCAAATGCTTGTACTAGGAAAACAGCTGACAGTAGTGGCAGTTTGCCACAGGCCAGGTGACAAACAAAGCAAAAAAGAGGAACAAAACAAATATGCGGAAGAAGGTGCTCTGATTGGATGACGACAAACCTGCACACGTCATGCCGGCTGTTTAGAAATGATGGTGGCAAGGAAGCTTTATTTATGTAAAATGGAAATAAGCACAGCGCTCCAAAGATATGTAAAGTTTTTAATGCGGGCAAAAAATAGAAAACTCTTTGGCCGTCAGCAGCTTGTACGCATTCTTTTTTTCATTCTTTTTTGCCCACATTAAAACCTTTACACATTTTTGGAGTGCTGGTTATTTCCAATTTGCTTTTTCTCTTTTTTTTTCTTTTTTTTTACTTTCCTCCTCTCCCAAATTTAATTCATGCATTAAATTCATGCATAACAGATTTTGATCAGACAGATTTAAAAAATGAAGTGGTCGTCTTTCGCCTGGACAACCCTGAACACGGAGCCCGTGTAGAATCAAACATGGAATGGCCTAGTCCAAGTCAGAACCTGAATCCCGGACGCTGCGTCGTCCCAGAAGTTGTGGGAGTAAACATTATCACTGTTGTTTTCGAGACCATTTTCCAGTAATACAACGCTAATGATGGACGTTCACCCTCTGAAAGATCAACAAACTTTTAATCATTATCAAACATTTAACATTGGAACTGGAAGACATGTGTAATATCCTAAATAATTAAACAAAACAACAAATAAAGTGAACAATAAAGCCTCTGTAAACAAACTCGAACCGTGGACTAGCTGAGGCCAACGAACCAGACTGAAGAACTTCTGTCATCCAGTCTTTGGCAAAAAGAGAGACTTAAGAAAAACAATCAATCTGAGTAATTGATTTAATATTAAATGTATTAAAGTTGTGGTTGTTTTGTGTTTTTTGTTCACTCTGCTTCATCAGCTTTCGTCTCACTTAATGAAAAAAAAAAGCTTATTAATAAAAATATTCAACAGGTATCTCCTACCTGTTGAATAGATGTTGTTCTTTTCCCTCAGACAATATTTACATGCATTCATGACTGCTGTGAAACAAATGGTGCGTTTATCGCCGTCAGAATAAGGGGGAAACTGTCTAGTTAAATTTTTTTTCCCCTTCCTGTTTTCTACTTTTTAAATCCCGTATCTTTTTTGTTTTGTGTACACCCCCACCTTCCTCCTCTAGAGCGCAGCAGCTACTGCAGCCACTCTCGCTTTACCCACAGGGGTCACCCCATACCAGCAGATCATCACCAGCCAAGGTAAAGCACTCGCATGCATCTGCACCAATATTAGCCCTTTAAACAATTTCTTTTCAGCTGCAACTTGTTTTGGTCTTTGTCAGGAGGTTTTGTTTTTTTACTTTTTGTGTTTGCTGATACAGGTCAGATCCTGCAGGTGGTGCGTGCCCCCAACGGCACTCAGTACATCATCCAGCAGTCCCAGCAGCCAATCGTTCTGCAGCAGCCGATGCAGCCCGGTGGCGTTCAGGCTCCCGTCATACAGCAGGTTAGGAGAAGAGGTCATTCTGCATATGAGAGCGACAAAAAGATGGCATGCTGGGTGAGTTCTTCACTTTTATGTTTTATTTTTTCCTTGTTTTCTAGGTGCTGGCTCCCCTCCAAGGAGGTCTGCCCCAGCAGACTGGAGTCATCATCCAGCCGCAGCAGATCGTCTTAGCTTCAGGAAACAAAGTCCAAGGCAACACGCAGGTCAGCTCTCCGCCGCTCTCCACTGGCTGGCTGGGAGTTTCTAAGGTTAATGTATTTGTAACTTGCCTTTCCACCAGCAGGTGGTGCAAGCCGCAACCATGGTGCAGCAGCCCGGTCAGGCGGCGATGGCGGCGGCCGCTGCAGCAGGAGGGGCGGCGGCGGCAGCGCAGATCCAGCAGGTCCAGCAGGTCCAGCAAGCCCAGGGCGCAGCTGCACCGCAGGCGCCCCCGCAGGCGCCGCAGCAGAGCCAGCCGCAACCTCAGGCACAGCAGCCTCCCATGATGCTCCAGGTGGACGGGGCGGGGGACACCTCCTCTGAAGAGGACGAGGACGAAGAGGAGGAGTACGACGAGGACGAGGAGGAAGAGAAAGACAAGGACGGTGGCGAAGATGGACAGGTTGAAGAGGTGGGCTTCCCTCTCTGCTCTCTGTTCTGTTACCCCAAACATGGCCGCCTTGTGTTGTTACGGAGACCAGAAACAGAAGATTGACGCTGATGGGTTTTGGTTTCCGATTTAGGAGCCGCTGAACAGCGAAGACGACGTCAGTGAAGACGAAGATCAGGAGCTGTTTGATACAGAGAATGTTGTGGTGTGCCAGTACGATAAGGTAAGACACTAGGGCTGAAACGATTAATCATGATTAATCGATCGGTGAAATGATCGTCTAATTTAGTAATGGATTAAAAATGCAGTTTACTTAAGAATATCAACATATTGAGAGCAGTAATTAAGCCAAAGCTATACAAACATCTACATTTTGCATTCAAGATGAAAACAAATTTGTCTGTAAGTATTTAAGTCAAGTCTTCTCAAGGTTCAGACTTACTCAAATAATTATGTGCTGTTCAATCTTCTGTCTTGCAATAAAATGCAAGACAGAAATTTACTGATTTATTTTCATATTTTCATGCATTTATTTTCTATGATGAATAAAAAAAAGGCATCAGTGGTTAAGCAAAGAATTTGTAGAATGTCAAAATAATTGATTAATCGGTTACCAAAAGTTAGAAATCGATTAGTCGTTAGTTGCAGCCCTACAGCTTCCCTCATCATCGTGAGGGAAGCTGCGTGATCCGTCTTGTGTGCATGAGGTGAAGAGATTTGATCCCCTAAAAATGCCGTCCATCTGTTCTCTACGCCCCCGACTCATTTCCTCTCCCCCGTACCCCTCACCCCGCTCCCCCACCTACAGATTCACAGAAGTAAGACCAAATGGAAATTTCACCTGAAGGACGGGATCATGAATCTCAACGGCAGAGATTTCGTCTTTTCCAAAGCCACCGGAGACGCCGAGTGGTGAAGAAGCAGAAAGGAAAAGTCAAAAAGAAAAGAAAACAAAAACATAAAAAAAAAATTAAAAAAAACTCTGGAACTCCTCCTGTCCATTTAACAAGACAGTCGAGCATCCTTCCTTACATACTCTGTGACTGGAGAGAACTCCTAGAACCCAAAGGATGGGGAGGTACTGATTTAAAAAAAAAAAAAAAACCCTGGATGTCAGCCTTGTTTGGGGGGGTGAAAACACTCAATCTAGGCCTTGCGGGATGAGAAACCAAGAGAGGAAGGAGGGAGCGGCTGGAAATGAAGAGTTTTCTTTCTTCTTTTTTTGTAGTTCCGTCTTCATCCTCCAGGGGGCTCCTCTGCCCTTTTTTTTTCTGGACAGAATTCACACTAAAAAAAAAAGCATTTCACATGAAACGGGTGTAGTGGACCAGGGTTTGGTGACCCCGTCTGGCCGCAGGAGGACCGAGGTCGTTCACAACAAGCCCATAGATGAGAAAACTAATCTTTCTAATGCACTGTAGTCGGCTGACTGGGTTGACTCGTGTCTTTGTGGAAGTCCAAACTGAGTGTCACCAGTCGAATGCGCTGCCTTCTAGAATGATCCCAATCACCTTTGGACCTTTTGGCTTTTGTGTTGTTTTTCTTCTTCTTCTGTTTTTGTTGTTGTCGAGTCGTAGTTTCTCATCACGTTTAAGTCAAAAATGGTGCTCCAGAGGGTTTTACTGTAGTTATTCTGTTATTGTTTTTTTTTTTTTTTAAGTTAATGAAGAATAAGAAAGTAAAATAACATCCTTAAAAAAAGTTTTAAATAATATGTCTCCAATTCAAATGAAGTTTTTCCCCCTCTTCTTGCTTCTCTGGAGCTTCATTCCATCTTTTACCCCTCCGTCCCCCCCAAACTAAACTAAACTCGAACAAAATTCATTTAAGATTTGTATAAGTGGGAAGTTTGCCATTTCAGTGGATTGTCTGCGCTCTTGTTTTAATTTTCTGCAGCTGTCTAAAAAAAAAAAGAAAAATTTGCACTGTTAGTTTATCGATGTATTGTGAGGTCAGCCAGTTCCAATAATCAATAATGGCGTCTTCTGTCCTATGTGTGTGTGTGAGTGAAAGAGAGCCACTGTGACAGATTGTACAGATGTTAGAAGCAGTGTGAATGTGCGCGCCACTCCTCCCTGGAAGGAAAATTAGTTTCGTCCCTCCCCCCCACCTTAACGTCAACGCGTCACAGGAATAAGCGTCGAGGATGGTGTTCTTATCTATTTATTGCTAAAAGTGTGTGAAATGTTCTATTTTTTCAGCACCAAACTGTGCTCTTATTATTATCTCATAAGTGTTCCTTTTTATTCTTGATTTTTTTTTTCTCTTGTTTTTTTTTTTCCATCTGTTGATTGAAAGCTACATGATGTTGTTGGAAATCATTTCATCCACTATATGTTCTCCTGTGCTTTCATTATACTCAGAACTTTTAAGATGATACGTTTTCTATCACTGTAAGTTTAACTTTGGGAAGGGGGGGGGGGTTTGTGTATTTCTGCAATTTTGTTTTTAGTGCCCCGTCACAGCAGTTTGAAATAAAAATGTTTCTCGACTCACTCTTGGAGTTGTTTTTTTTCCTCGACATTTCATATTTCATTCCCAGAACTGTGCCGCTCCTGGTGGCAGAACATCTTTGTTATGCTTTATGTTAGTAATGGGCAGGCAGCAGTTTTACAGAGGAGCAGCAAAAGCAAATGAGGTGGATTAGCAGTGGTTGCTAACACCAGATGGTGTCATCCAGGACATTTTACTGTGGAATAGCGTCTGTTCCCTGGAATGTGACGACGGTGATAAAACTGTCGTACACCAACAGTCTTCAGTCAGAGGCCTTTTCAGATTGGTTGGAAGACTGACTGATAGTGGAGGCCCTTCCTGTCCACAGCATCCACAATGACCCTGAAGACATTTGGATGACATGCTACGACATTCATTTTCCCTTTTCAGATAAATGTTTTTTTGTTTTTTTAATAAATTGTGACTTTATCATCACAGATTTCCTAAAATTCACTTTAAATTTCTTTGGAATCACACAAATTCACATGATATACAACTGATTTTATGAGTGTATTTATAAATTCAAGTTTTTGGGAGTCTGTCATTTTTGGGGAGTTGTAAATAATGACAGCCACTCAAAGTGGCTAGAAGTGAACATTTTAGGAAACTTTAGATAACTGGTGGAAGATGGCAGCAAAGTTCAAAAAGCAATAACAAGGATCACAAAGTGAAGTGTGTAACTAGCTGAAACTGCGCTAACATGCCTTTCCTCTTGGGTTTTGCGTACTCCCTCATCGACGGCTGTCATCTTGAAACAAAAGATGTGGGTCTGTGTTTCTGCATCTCTTTCTGTCAGACTGACGCTGTAAGGACCGTTTGCAGCAGACTCTGAATGGGGCTGGACTTTTGACTGTTGCATGTTGGGCTATTTTTTTTTTCTGAGCCAACTCTTCCTTCACAACTTTCTCCCTGACCCGTCCACTCTCTTCCATGGTCGTCGTGATGCTGTTTGTTCTCTAATCTAAACTCCCGCCTAAACCGTCTCAAGCCCTATGACTTTCCTTCAGCGTATTCAGGAGGAAAGGTGTGGTGGTGTTTGGGATTACGGCAGAGTCTGAATCTACTCTGGGAGTTGATTGTAAATGGATTGGAAGCTCAATAAAACATCTGTCTAACTTCACAAAGGCTGTATTGACCCTCGGACAGAGCCGGTGGAGGAGTAATGGCTCCCCAGCCACCTCTGATCAAGTGGCTCCTCCTGAGCTGCTGGCCAGTGGAGATGTTTACCTCTGGCCACCGTCACTGCTAATTAGCAGCGGGTGTTGGATTCAGTGGAGTTTGATCAGGAACTGTTGACTGTTGCTTAGTTTTAAAAATAAGAATTAAAGCGAAGAAAGACGATTCCGCTTGTATCATTTCTTTTCATGCCGGACCTTCTGAATTATCTGTATCTACAGACTTGGGGTGCAGATGTTTCACACATTTTGCTTTAGTCAGATGCGAACAAATCTCGGTTCATCTTTGGAGCTAGCTTAACTTTGTATTTTCCCAGAGGGAGAAGGAGGAAGTTCAACTCGTCTCCTTCATCAGTCACAATCGGAAAGGATCACATCCCCAACTCTAACATCTCTCTGCACGGCTCTCGAACCATACAACCAGACAAAGACGGAAAGAGGAGTGGCAATAGCAAATGAGGTGGATTAGTAGTGCTTGTCCACAACGCATGGTGTGTTGCAGTGGAATTTCATCTCTGGAAATTGAGCTATTAGGATGCCACGGTTGACATACGCTAACAGTATGACAATAAGTAATATGTTTCAGTTTTTCACTAAAATGTCATCTTTAGATGATATTCTAACATATTGAGATGAACCTAAACTTGCTGCAATAGTATTTGTTGATGTTTACATTTTATTTGATATGTTTTTTAACTTCAGGGCTCTGCCAACCCACAATCTAGACCAGTGAAATCAAAAGAAAGCTGCTAGTTAACACCTAGAGGCTTCCGGGGGTTTTAAGGAGAATCCTTTTGTGCTGCATTTGAAGCTGTCTATAATTACCCGGGTCGACACCAGATATCTGGATGTGATGATGCCTCTTCAAAGCTTTAAATCTTGTGTTGCATTCTTGCTCCTTACCTCAGTTTTGTGCTTTCCATTAAGCAAATCTTGAGATCATTAGAAAGAGCCAAAACAGTCCTTCGTAGAAATCAGCAGGCAAACAATTAGAGCCATCCTTCATGTAGCTCTCAAGTTTATGTTTCTGGAATTTCTTTTCTTTTTTTTTTTTTTGGTCACATCTTTCCCACTTTTTTCTTTGTTGGGGAACACAGTGGAATTTCAGGTACGCTTTCCATATGTATGGAGATTACAGGATGTAATGGAGAGGGCTTATTTTTATTTCTGTATTTTTTTTACATCCTGTCTATATAATATGCTATGACCAGTTTTTTTTTCTTTCTTTCTTTTTATTTGTTTTTTTACAGAATAACAGATATTCTGTTTAACAGAACCAGTGTTCCCTCAGTGCTCCCTCAAGAGCATAACAAGGAAAAAACACATAAACAAGAAAAGTAATTTCGGACATCTAGGGGATTGAAAGCCCTAGATTAAATCTAGAAGATTTAATGAATTCAAGTTCAACAGGGTCTTTTTTCCCCACTGATTCTGCCGAGCCTGTTCCCGTTCCCAGAGTAAAGTGGGTTAAACACATATTAACAGGAGACTTCCCTGATTTTTGTTTGCAAAACAAATATTGTAAACCCCTTATGTGTCGGTCCATCACATAAAATCCCAATAAAAATATGTCAGTTTAAGATTTTAATGTTGCAAAATGTGTAAATGTTAGAGTGGGATATTTTGATAAAGTAGTAGAAGTGAAACCACTTGCGAATCAATAGATGTTTCAACTCTTCTCTCCACTTCACTTGACACTCAAGAGCTTTCTCTGGGAGAAAGGAGCTTCACAATGACCATCCAAGCAACATAAGGAGTGACGACATCAAGGCAAGGACTTCAAGAGCTAAATCTTTCTCCAATTCCTTAAAACAACCACAGTTTTTCTTTTTCCTTCAGTTTTTTTGCGTGTGGAAACTAAATCTGTTGCTGGGTGAGGTGCATCTTGGGTCATGCCTTGCTTATTTGAGGAGCAATTCAGGTACTGGTTTATTTGCAATAAGGGGAAAGGAATGATCGGCGGATCCTGAGAACCAGCAGGAGGAAGAATTTTCAAATAAATGGAGTCTCATTCCGTCCAATAATTAGACGACGAGTCTACCCATGTTTCAGAGTGAAATTACACATAATCCCAAATAGGAAAACACTCTAAAGTTCATGCCACCGAGTCAAACACTCTGCAGTTGCTTTGTGTTTCCCCAACGTTTACACTTACTTTGATTTCAATCTTCTTTGACTGAACTGTGAGCTGTAGTAGCACAGGACAAGCTGCGAGGCTCTCATGAAATCAGCCAAGTAAATCATCTCTTCAGCTCTCTAATGATCCACATCTCAATGCTGGACTGCTTTTAGTGACTGATTGGAAGACGTGGAAAATATAGACGCCTTGTTAGAAATTGTACAGTCTTACTCAAGTACTGATTGCCGTGAGCTGATGTGACTTCTATTATTAAAACTAAACCTTCCAGTTTTATGATTTTGGGTCATTTAGGTTTAGTAATGTGTCACATTTAGCAACCTCAGCTTTTAGGGGTAGTTCATAAATTTCATTTTGTGGTCAAAGCTTTGACCACACATTCAGAAAGCCAAATATGCACTCACTTTCCAAAACCAGCTTGGATGTGCGATTGAATCATTGTCCAGTTGGACAATCGTTTCTCCCAAACTCTCAACATCTGATGAAGAGAAATTGCTTTTGGTGTCCACAAAAAATCAGGGATCCAGCAAGGCTATTGTCCCACCAGTGTCCCTGTCCACAGTGAAGTTAACTTGCCATCAACATGGGCTGAGAGGGCGTAGCCCAAGAAAGAATCCCCGACTCCATAACTAAAATCTTGAAACTTGAATTACATTCCCAGCAGCCCACAAGGCCGGGCCAAATCATTTCTGGTAAAAGGTTTAATGGCCGAATGAAAAAATTTGGAGTCAATGTGAGGCTTTTAAACTTAAGAAGTCTGTATCAACTGTCAAGGATGGTGAGTTTGCTTTCACGTTAAGAGTTACTGGTATATTGAACAAGGCCGCTGGAGGAATGAAGGACGACTCCCTCCAAAACCTTCACAACTTTCCCTAAACGTCAACAGCTACAGTTAATGCCAGCAGTTTATATACACTCTCAGAAACTGACCCTCAGGTGCAACATTGTGGTTTCTGTTGTGCATGACGTGCATGTGGCTAGCATTTCTGTGGGTAAGGTACATTGTGCAGGTTTTGTGCTTCACACGCATAATGGGCTTTGGGGATGTGGTTGCTTTCATGTGTGCCCTCTTAGACGAAAGTGTCCCTGTCTTCAGACACACTTCCACAGTCTCTCCTTTGTTGTTGCTTTCCATAACACTTTTGTCTTTTCTGTTTATGTTTTCACCTTATATCTCTCGCTTGATTTTGTTCTATTTTCACTCGTCGCTTTAAAAGTTAGAAAGCCTCCTTGCCATCATGTAATCCTCTGCGGATTCAAGTCAAGGCTCCGATTGGGCCACGCCAAAGCATCCGTATTGCTTCCTGCCCATAGAAACATGCTGTTAAACTTAAAAGATTACTTTAAGCCTAACTACGCCAGGGGTATGAATGATTTTTAACTCAACTGTATCGTTGCACTGCTGTAAGCTGAATCAGCAAACAAAAAGCTCCCATATAGAATTACATTCCACAAAATTCAATACTATGAAGAACAGAAGTGAATAAGTACTTTATTATTATCCACACATGCCACTAAAACAAGGTTTCCAAAGACTTATGCACACTGTTGAACACTTGTATCTGCTTTAAAACATCAAATTAAAGCACAGACTCAATTTCCCAGAAGAAGCATAGGCTAAAATATGGACAAAATCCATATGTTTTTCTGTGGCTGTTGTATTGTTTTTTATAATCTACAGAGTTGTGAAT